CCGAGACAGTAAACCATGAGGGGCCACTCAGTTTCGGCTAGCTCCCGATGCTCAATGCCCCTTATTTCAAGGAACGTCCGGATTTCGTTCTGGCAAGCTGCAAAACGGCTAGGGACCTTCCCCTTTGACAACCAACGTACATTTCCGTGCAAAAATCAGACCATGATAGTCATTTCCAACTTCATCCACCAGTGTTTTAAACTGTCGATCATTTGCGGCTCGGGCAACAATAAAGCTGATCACACGAATGATCAGCGACATCACTTCACCAAGCTGCCAATCACATATCTGAGCACAAGGAGCCTCCTGGTGTAGAATGCAATGGAAACGTAGGATGGGTCTATTTACATGTTCACGGAGAAGCGCCACAAATCCTTCGTTTTTCCCCACCATACACGGAGCAGCATCAGTACACGCGTAGACAAGTTTATCCATAGGTATTTTTTATTTCTTGAGCGAACTCCATGAAACACTTGAATAAATCCTCACCCTTTGTGGATCCTTTTATTAGCAGATCCGCAAGACTTTCTTCGTACAGTGTACCACCAGCAGCATATCTTGCAATCACAATGAACTGCGCCAAATGGCTTACGTCTGTTGACTCATCCAAAGCCAGGGGAAAGAACGGCGCAATGGCTAGTTAAAGAATTGAAACCGATCCGCAATAAATTGTCTGCCTATACATCAAGAGACACTTTCCATTTTATTGATGAAATTGGGAATCAAAATATTTCAGACAAATATGTATATGATCTCTCTGGGCGTTGAGTCATTATTCACCAACGTGCCACTAGATGAAACTATCGAAATCATCTGCACGTATACTTCAGAAACTCGCCTATCCCCTGAAATATTACGGGATTTATTAAAATTGTGTACGAAAGATTGCAATTTCTATTTGACGGCCATCTATAACCTCAAATTGATGGAGTAGCAATGGGAAATCACCTGGGACCAACTTTTGCCGACATATTTATGGGCCATCTAAAAGAAAAAGTATCCACGGAGTTGAACAAGATAACCCTGTACAGAAGATGCGTAGATGACGTGTTCGCGATCGTTGACAAAATCAAAGAAGCTAAACAATTATTGTCTATAATGAACAGCCTGCATCCCAAGATCAAATTTACCATGGAACAGGAATGGGAGAACCAGCTTTCCTTCCTCGACGTTCACATGTCCAGAAAGAAAGATGGCTCCATTACAAGAACTGTCTACCATAAGAATACGTAGAAAGGACAGTACTTGCATTATTTGAGTTTTGTGCCCCTTCAATGGAAACGAAACTTGGTATGCACTCTCTTCCAGAGAACGAGAAAAAT